GACGCCATCGTCATTTCTAGATGCCAGATAGGTTGTCATATCATATTTTCCATGTCCAAGAAGTCTACGCCCGTTAGCGACGCTCTTCCGGCCGTTCTCTGACACACTTTCTCGCACTAACACCGAGTTTTCTCTTTTGTAGGTGACGCCATCGTCATTTCTAGATGCCAGATAGGTTGTCGTATCATATGTTCCTGCCATGGATTCTTTAACGGAAAGATTTACTCAGAGTACTCACAAGATTAACCACGTGAGATGGTTTCCAGACCTTTCTCAATGTAAGAAGAGTGTTGATGCAAAGAGTGTCAAGACGAAGAATGGAAGGTGATTTCCGGACCTACGTCAATGTTGTACACGCGGAGGCGAGAAGCAGAACCCTCTACCAAAGCTCAGTGCAACTGGTGAGATGAACACCAATATCTGTTTGTTTCCGAAGCGTCCGCGATCGAAGACGATAACAAGAAAGGTTATTGCGCCATGTCGAGCAGCAAACACAGTGATGGGTCTCTGCGCAACTGGCAAAACGGGGAGTACAATCCAGATAGAGCGTCCAGGGAAGCGTCAGTGCCCGAACGCTGAAGGCAAACAATCTAGAGAGAGAGACGATGTACAGGACATGAGCGAGAACTTTGTTATGAAAGAAACACTCTACGACAGCGTGGCGCAAGAATTGCGTGACAACGACACTGAGGAAGAGGAACCTAGTGACGACGATGATGAGGAGGGTGAATCGAGCGACGTCGATGATGATGAGGAGGAAACGAGCGAGGATGCCAATTTAGAAGACACAAACTCTGAGGATGATGAAGGGAAGAACGAGTCGGGAATCGATGTCGACATGTTCAAGAAGAGTCTATCTGGAGATCTTTTAGGAGAAGCGAAACAGATAATAGCACAGGAGGTGAGAAGAGGACTGTACAACAAATCAAGCAAGAGTGAGAAACCTCCTTACAACTTGGGAAAGCGCGGCAGGAACGTACGTGTGTACAACAAGAAAGCTAACTACCACGTGAACATAAAGAATGTCGAACTAGTTCTGAAGGAAGATTGCTGCAAGGTCAACTGTTACAAGAAGTTCACAGCGGTAGATGTTTTCTACAAGCGCGAAGAATTTTGGGCGATGAAACAACCTGAGCAACTCAACTTCTTTCTCGCAGAGATGAGGGCTGCATCGTACTTTTCGGATGAGGGAGATTTAAAGGTATTAAGAGTGACGAGTGACGTTCAACGGTGTAAAGGTTTGCACAAAATTGTGAGGAAAGCTGTACGGATGCTCGACTACACGTGTTGCAAAGATACGCAAAGAATTCAGAGAAGGAATGGTGTTGTACGAGCATGCAAACAAAGGATCAGTCGGATTATCTGCTTCATCACAACAAATTCTCGCCTGGTTGCATGAATATTTCCAATACAATACAGAGAGTATGCCAAATAGCGACCAGTTTCATCTTTCAGATACTCTCCGGCGCAGACGTGTACGACTTCTTCAAGCGATACTGCAAAGAGCTCTACACGAATAAGACTCTTCCTTCCCGTTCCAGATTTATGACCATTTGGAGGGTTCACTGTCTGAAAATTCTTATTCCTGCATTGAAGAGGTTCTCGGTCTGTTCCACATGTCTGAAATTCAAGACAGGCCGTTCACAGGCAACAAGTGCCTTCGAACAAGGTAATGACATAACCTCAGTGCTTATTTTCTCTCCCCCTATCTTCCTGACCCTTTTTTTTTTTTTTTTTTTTCTCTCTCTCTCTCTCTCTCTCTCTCTCTCTCTCAGTGTTCATTCTTTGATGTTTGTCACAGCGCGACTGATTGTTTTGAATTATATCCCTTTAAGTTGTTTTTGCAGAAAGTAGAGGCTGTGACTTGCACATTTACGGAAGGACTCTCATGGAACTCTTCTTCGGCTCTCCTATTTCTTCTTCTTCTTCCTCTCTCTCTCTCTCTCTCTAAATGTTCTTCGTGTAGAAAGAAAAATGAATCTAGTGTCAGCGCAAACTGGGAAGGATTCTTATGAAAGTAGAAAGTTTGGTAAAGAAATAGTTAAACATCTTCTCTTTGTCTCAGTTATAGTCCTATAACACTTTGTCTCTTATTCGTCTTCGACTTTTCAGAGTTAAAGCCCTTTACCACTTTATCTAGTAATCGTCTTCGTGACGTCTGCGTTGCCTTCCCCGAACTCGTTCAGTCAATCAAAACAGAAATTTAAGGGAAGAATGAATTGAAGATTCTACGACGTTTGTGGACTCACTTTTCTGAGTTATAGCCCTATAACACTTTGTCTAATAATCGTCTTCAACTTCTCAGAGTAAAAGCCCTTTAACACTTTACCTCTTAGCCGTCTTCGATTTTAAAGCCCTTGTTATTAGTGACGTCTGCGTTGCCTTGCCCAAACTTCGAATTTTATGATGCACGACACTTGTAGACTGAATTTCCTGAGTTATAGCCCTATAATACTTTGTCTAATCATTGCTTTCGATTTTAAGGCCCTTCATCGCGCTTTCTCTCTTTTCTTTAACATGTTTTGACAAAGTAACCGCTTGTTTTATTTTTTGCGAAGAAATGTTTGGCAAGGCACTAGAGAAGCACTGGTTAATGCAAGCAGAAGAGAGACAAAAACTCAGTAAGCATCGCCATAAGGCTTCAAGTCATCCGTCAGAGTATGTCGCAATGTCGCCATAAGTTCCAAAGGGTTCGAAACTAAAAGAAGGGAACTTTGTGAAAGTTCACGTGGTTGTGGCTAAGGTGCTAGGACTTTCATCGAACACCTCTGTAACTGTTTTCTTTGACAATTTCAAATCAGATTCTAATTGCATGCTAATTGTTCTTCATCGTCAGATTTCTCAACTTCCTGTACCATTTCCGAGAGTCTTGTATCTTACACTTGATAACACTTCGAAAGAGAACAAGAACAAATTTGTGTTGTCATATCTCGTGTTCTTGGTGAAAATGAGAATGTTTAGTAAAGTTAAGTTAAACTTTCTTCTTGTAGGTCACACGCACAAGGACATCGACCAGATCTTCAGCTGTTTCTCGAGAAAGCTAGCTGCACATGGTGCGTTCGATTTTCCTGAGTTGCAACACGTGATTAGGGAATCGTACAAGGTAGAACAAGATTATGGCGTGCACGTTGAGGAGATGACGGAAACAATGGACTGGAAGTTGTACGTTCAGGATCATTTACATAATGTCAATGATATTAGCTTTAACCAACATTTCCGAATCAAGTGCAACGATAACAGGGAGGTGCGCATTTGGAGCAAGCAATATCATAACTCACAGTGGTGGCCGAACGACAGAGAAGGTCTAGACATCTTCAAGTCAGAGCCAACAGGACAAGTTCAGGCTTCGCCAAAGTATGCAATCCCATCTTTGGAAGCAAGATATCGATTTACTTGTCCGGGTGAGGACGAGAGGCGTGATAAGGTCGTCAGCAGTGAAGGTCATGTTCGTAATCGAAAAGCGGGAGGATCTTCGAAATTCAAGGTTGACGATGATGTACTTTCCATCGCCGCCTTGAAAGCCAACGTACATGCCCTATCGCATTACGCTCAACCCCACAACATTGAATGGTGGAAAAAGTTCATAGCAACGCAGGAAACTCTCGACCTTGAGGACACAAACCTCTAAGAGTCTTTTGCGTGGCCCTCTGTAACAGCTGATGTCGACAGAGCAGGTGAAGAAGTTCCACCAACCGCTAATGGCTTTGACCAACGCTGGGATGATCTTTTCCCTCCTGAGAGACCCATCTACATCGGCGCACGCAAGAGCAGACATTTTCGAGAGGACAAAGACGGAAAGTACGACGATCTCGAGGTCAACACTTTCATCGCGTTACGAGCTTGTTCGGGGCAGGAAGAGAGAGGCAAACCTTACCACATTGGCAAGGTTGTCGAGCTGCTAGCAGGTAAACGGCTCAAAGTTGTTTGGTTTGCACAACGTGAGAAAGGAGAGGGTTACTATCCTCAGTTCAAGACAAATCCTCAGTTCAAGACTACGAGAGAGCCTTCCGAGGACGTCTATGACTGGAGCTGCGGCGTTCTTTGTTACAACTTCCAACTGAAGACAGACAGGATCTTTTTCTCGCTGACCAGACAAAAGATCTTTGAGATGTTGAATTCCATGGCAACGGAGGATGTCGACTAGGAAGACCTTCTAGGAACCGATTGCTTCGGAGGTTGGCAGAGTGTCATCGAGATCGAGGTCATTTCTGCTTCCGCATTAGATCAGGTTTCCTTTTGTCGCTATTCAATAGATTATCTGAGTTTAGTCGTTAGCGGCTTGTAAATTCTTGTAAATATGTACAACAGTAGGTCGCAATTCGCAGCCAGGCACGTGTGGCCAACCTTTTTGTTATCTGAGTCTAGTCGTTAGCGGCTTGTAAATTCTTGTAAATTTGTACAACAGCAGGTCGCAGTTTGCAGTCAGGCACGTATGGCCTACCTTTTTGTTTTCACGATCTTTTCCAAATGTACTTTGCGGTTTTTCACTTTACAATTTTGAGATTTTGAAAATTGACTCACGATTTGCCGTTTGAGTTCCAGTTTTTCGATTTGCGGTTTGTCATTCATTTTTTGACCAAAACATTTGTCACATGAACAATTGTCGATTTGCGGTTTGTCATTCAAACTCTCGCGACATTATGCTCTTTTCTACTTTCTGCAAAGTCGTGTTAAAGACCTACAAGGTCGTGTTTGAATTTCATTGAATTTTTACGACGTTCAACATTACGTTTACAATGCTTCAAACACCTCACCGATTACGGATTAAAATTTTAACGCCCGCCAAGCTTCATGTCAAATTATCGCGAAATTATGTTATTTTTCTACTTTTTAAAATTCACGTTATAGGCCTATAAGGTCGTGTTCGAATTTCGTTGAATTTTTGCGACTTTTAATACTGTGTTTTTAGGGCTTTAAATACTTGACCGATAATGAACTAAAATTATGCTATTTTTGTACTTTCTTAAAATTCGCGTTATAGGCATCTAAGGTCGTGTTTGAATTTCGCTGAATTTCCGTGATGTTGAAAATTGCGTTTATAGGGCTATAAACACTTGATCGATTGCGGACTAAAATTATTTTGTCCGTGTTTCGTTTTCAAACAGTCGTTATAGGCCTATAATTCGAAAAGTGTGGTTTTTGAATTTCGAAAGAATTTTCGAGGGTCTCTTTCAAATCTCGTGAAATTCGGTTGTTTTCTGAATTTGCGCAAATTCGCGTTATAGGCCTATAAGGTTGTGTTTGGAAGTCGTTGAATTTTCGTGACGATCGAATCTGGTCAATCGGCTGTCCACAACTTTTGAAGATTTGAAATCAGTTGTCGTTGGCTGTTTTTTGCTTTCCTCTGGATCCCGTTTTTTTACTACCTTCGTTTTCAAGCTACTATTTCCTTATTATTATGAGTGCAAAGAAAGAGGCTCTGTTCGGCTTGCCAGGTTTTCGGTTAGTTTTTACATCCTTGGATTAGGTTCTGGAAAAGGCTCTTCTGTTTTAAAACAAAATACTACTTCCAATGTACAGTATTGACTGGTCGTTTCGTTATGCACTGAAATCTCCAATTTATCTTTTCGTCGGCCATGAGTAGGAGTCGTATGTTCGCCTCCAAAATGGGTTTTTTTTTCCACGTTGTTGTCGGTCTCGAATATTTACTGATTTTTAGGGGGGGGGTCGATGATATTTGCGCACGAAACGGTGCAAAATCCACCTTTACTTCTAAAAAAATGCTATGTTCCATTGACGTTTTTCTGTCTATAGGATTTCTCTGGTTTTGGTCTGTTTCTCTGGTTTTTATGTTTTGTTGTGAAAAAACTTTTGCGGGCCGCGTTATACCGCGTTCTAATGCGGTATAGCACAACGTTGTAACGGGGGTTCGACAACCGTTGAACCTTTCAACGGCAAACTCCCGTTGAAATCGAGTTTCGGACACACATGCGACATAACATTATCTTGTGACATATTGCTCTTTTTTTTTTCAGCACTGAGGGCATTGCCTCTAGGACTTTAGGATTGTATCATGCTACATTTCATTTTCTGTTGTTAGTTAGGATGTGTATACTAGACATTTGCTTTTCATTTGACATTATGTAGCTTAGGTTGCATCGCATGGACTCCGCATGGAGTTTGCTCCACGTCCTAGATTTCTCAGTTTTCTTTATTGTAGTGTTCCGGTGTTTTTGCGGATAGTGTGTTTATGGCTCTTGCGATCCATTACATGTTTGCGGATCGTGTAGCGGGCCTCCATCTACCTTGACCTACAACCAGGGCCTCTTCGGTTATTTGTCAGTTCAGCCTGGGCCTGACGTCACAGGCCGTGTGTTGTTCCAGTCTAGTTCAGTTCTGCGTGGTACCACTGTCAGTACCATGCCAGTCTAGTCCAGTCCAGTCAGTCCGCTGGGGTTATACCCCAGCTGTTATCTGTTTTTCAGACCATTCTTCACTTTGCACTTGTTGGACTTTGTGTCGTGTTGAGTCTGTGTCGGAGCTGCGCTGTCCCTTCCAGCTCCATCTCCACTTCCTCCTTCCTCAACCCTCTTCTGCATCCTGACGGACCACCATCCCGACGGGTACGACACAGGGGGGGGTTGAAATAACGAGAACGGAGGAGGAGGATTAGGAGGGGGGAATAACGGAAATGGAGGAGGAGGATTAGGAGGATGGAATAACGGAAACGAAGGAGGAGGATTAGGAGAATGGAATAATGAGAACGGGTTGAAGTGGAACAGTGGAGGAGGAATTTCAAACAGGAACAAGAATGGAAAAGGAGGATGGAATAACGGGGGAGGATGTCAATGAAGCGGACCACACACTACAACTGTGGCCAGGTCGGTCAAATCTTTCACGAATGTCATCCACCACGACATAGCTACCAAGCCTGTCCCAAGGACCACAAACGAACTATCAAGGACTCGGACCATAGGCAAATGAAGCCTCGAGCAGCTCGAATGCATGTGCTGATTGGTTCAGGAGGGGAGGGGAAGGGGGGGACACGAAGGTTACCACACGTTTTTTATTGCGCAATGACCTGCATACATGCAGTCCAAGGATTCTGCTGATTTTTAACAAAATATTGGCTTATGTATCTGATTGCTAAGAGCTCGAATTTTGTGTCAGTTTTGCTGTCTCTTGAGTACGTGACACTGACATTGTGTGATCTGCCGCTAATGTGTGTGTATGGCAAGTACTCCAAGTTTGAGTCCAAATGCTGACCCTGTTGGGTGTGGTGTGCGGTTGTGCCCCTTACAAGGACAAAGTAGAGAAGGGGTAGGACCAGCGACATGATGAAAAGTTAGCAGAAGGGACACATTGGGAATTTGAGAGTAGAGTAGCGGCCATGGACATAAGTAAAATTTACTAGAGGTCCGATAGGGATGTTCCAGCAAGTCGTCTGGGTCTCTTAAGGGTGTGGAAGGTATCCAGTAGGAAGCGATGCTCCTGGGCCTGACTGTAGACAACATTCGGTCTTAGACTCAGGGGCTTCGGGCTGATATCAATCTGCAGATTCTGCACTGAGGCGACTCAATCTGCAGATTTTGCACTGATGCTAAACTTCCCTGCATAAGAGGAAAACATCTGGTATGGCCTTTGCACCATAGGGAGGCAGCGTAGGCAGGTAGTACCCAACCAGGAGGTACTGGAGACTGTGCAGCATAGAGTAGATCATATGGTGGAATGGCCATGTGATGGTATGTAAACTGGAGGCTGAGTTTGCAAAAAACAAAAAGTAAAATAAAGATTTGTGGACTGTGCCGCAGCAGTCGGCTCACTCTTGGCTTGAAAACCCTTTCGCAATCCAAAATTTTGGATTTGTGTACAAGGGGGCAATTAATAATTTGGGAATTGTCCTTGGGCTTCAAGTTGGAGCCTTGGACCAATTGGGATTGTGATCCGGTGGGGAAAGAAGCTGACCAAGAAGTAGAATACTTTCTTTCTTTTTAGCTCCTTTTTTTTTTTTTTTTTTTTTACCCCCTTCGGAAGGTTGTGCAAATTGATCTTGAGCGCAGAAAGTTTAAGGAGATAATACGTAAGTGCATGTCACCTTCGAGTATCGAATGGGCAAAAAAAACACGCTTCAACAAAGAAAACCGCACCGTATTGGAAAAGGCAATGGAAGTACCGACGGTCGTGGTGTCAGACCGAGTTTCATGTTGAAAGGGGTCGGCTGTGGTGTCAAAGCCTCAGAGGTGGAAAGAAAATGCCCAACGGATGTTTTTGGTCTGAAATTGCTCATTTCGAGTTTGCGGGTGTTTTTTTTCCCTTCAAGGTTTGAAAAGCTTCCAGGGCCAAGAGGAGTCCCACATGACACATGAACCTGCTTGGGATAATTGATAGAAAGCGCCCACGCCAAAACCTTTTCGGTTTTGGACGCCCATAGTTCAGGCGTTTGGTATTACAGGCGCAATGTCTTCCATGTGGGCTACTACATGCCCACACACCGCTCCAAGGGTCCAACAGGATCATGAATCTGACGCAGGAACAACGCCAGATTCATTGTGACGTAGAAGAGGTCGAGGGTGGTACCGCTGAAGGATAAAATTCATAGAATGAAGCCCACGTATGGTATTTTGAAAAAGAAGGGCCCTACCGGTTCATGAATTTGGCGCAAAAACAACACCAAACTCATGGACGGGTAAAAACAGGCCAACGGAGCAGAGGCCACGGCCAGAAGGCGCCTTTCACCCAGGCTGAAATCATTTGGGCCGGTAGTACCAAATGACCGAACTTTGGGCGACCAAAACCGAAAAGGTTTTGGCGTGGGCCCTTTCTACCAATTATTCCGACCTGCTTATTGGCCCTACCGTACTGAAAAACGAAATTCAAGTTCAGAGAGAACGTACTAACTACAGCCGTTCAGAAATAAAAAGACAAAGCAAAGTGGACAGACATGGCGTTCAAATCAAGATACTTTCTCTCTCCATCCATCAAGTGAGAAAGCAGATTACAAGCTCATGCACACAATCAAGACCGTAGAGGAGTAGGAAAAGAGACCTAGTAATACCCCAACAACACATACAATTGCATGCACACACACATGAAGACCCTTGGATGCACGACACTTACCTGAGCGGCCTGGGCCCTGAGGTCTGAGATGAAGTATAACTCATCGCCACCTTTCATATGTTGTCCAGACCAAATTAGCTACCTCTACACTAATGTCGTATCTAACAGGAGAGTCTGACTCCAACACCCAAGTTCAACGCCGGATCCCCTGCCGA